AGAGTAAGAGCTCCTGGGTGTACCTCTCCATCTGGCAGATGGAGGCTCTCCCTCAGCAGGGTGCTGTGCCAGGCAGTGTTAAATAAAATTGCATGCAAGCATTATAAAGAACTCTCCTTAGATCTCTGCTGGGGATGTGGGGTGTTAACAATTCTTTTCTTAAAGCCTATTTCTTATTTTCCATCCATTTTCACCCCTGAGGAAAAGGGCGGGGTGTGCATGTGTGTGCGCAGAAGGGTGGTTGAGAAGTCGGTGGGGAATTATATATACATTTAAAAAACGACCATTTCTGGGATTCTCTGAAAGTCATTGTATTGTAGTCATAGCCCAGGGCATGGGTGACTATACTATAGCATAGAATAACATGTCGTAAACTTGCTCAGGGCACTGACAGGCACGTTATTTATAATAAAAAGAGCATGATATTTAGGACTAGAGAGCCCTTGGTTTAGTTCCTAGCTCTGCCCTAACACATGTGAGATCTTGACCTGGGTATGTAACCCCCATTGAGCCTCAGTTTCCCCATCTGTAAAATGTGAAATGATTTCTGTTTCATAGGGTTGTTGTAAGGGCTAAGCTCAATGATAAATACATGAGTCCTTTGCTTATATACTCAATGCAATTGAGTAGTAGTTGCTCAATGTAATTAAGTTTTTCATCTAAGTGCTGGTTGAACAAATGATGGTTTTCATGTTTTTTATTATTTTATTACTAAACCCAAGCTTAATAATTTCAGTAATGAGGTTGGCTACTAGCCTTTGCTTTTTGCTGTAGGATGAGGTCCAAAGCAACATCTTGTGCACGTGTAGGCTTCAATGAATAACAAGAGTATTCAGACATTAGAAAATTTTCTATGGATAAAAGAAGGTAAATACCTTGAGCTAAAATTGACTTTTGTTGTTAAGGAAATGAAAAGCAAGCCACAGAATGGGAAATGTTTGCAATACATATATCTGACAATGGGTTGCTATCCAAAACATATAAGGAAAACATTCAATTAAAGATAAGATGAGCAAGCCAATAGGAAGTGGACAAAAGATTTGAAGACACACTTAACAAAAGAAGATGTATGAATGGTTGGCCAATAGACACAGGAAAAGATGCTCACTATCAGCAGTCATCAGCGAAATGCTAATTCAGACCATAAGGAGATATCATTACATATCCAACTGATGACTAACATTAAAAAGACTGCAAAGACCAATTGTTGACAGGGATGTGGGACAACTAGAATTCACATGCGCTGCTGGTGACATGTAATTTGGAAAATTGGGAGTTTCTTAAAAAGTTAAAAATGCATGTACCACATGACTCAGCTATTTTACTTCTACATATTTATTTACTCAAGAGAAATGAAGACGTGTCTCCTCTAAGATTTGTATACAAACTTTTATAACATTTTTATTTGTAATAGTCCCAAGCTGGAAACCAAAATGTTCATCAACAAGCAAATATGTAAACGAAATAAGATGTGTGCATTGCATAGAATGGAATACTAGTCAGCAATAAAAAGGAACTATGAACATGTGCTGTCATATTGATGAATCTCAAAACAACATGCTGGTTGAAGGAAGCAAGAACAACACATACTGTATAATCCCATTTACATAAAATACAACTACTCTATAGTGACAAGCAACAGGTCAGTGGTTGCCTTGGGGAGTGGGTGGAGAAAGGGATGGACTGCAAGGAGGCAACAGGCATTTTTTGAGGGGTGTTGGAAATGCTCTGTAGCTTGATTGTAGTGGTGATCTCGTGTATGTATACAGTGTCAAACTCTTCAAATGGTACACTGAATGAAGTTTATAACATGTAGAAGATTAACATTTCTCTATATATCTTATGTATATCTTCATATATATATATATGTATCTTCATATATAATATCTCAATAGTAGCACAATGGATGGGAGAGTGGGATGGAGGTTTATTGAACTGTAATGTTCTTACATTGTCTGTGAAGTGGTATAACACTATTGGAAGGAAGAATAATATAAGTCAAAGATGCATGTTTTAAATTGTGGAACAATCACTAAGAAAATAATAGTGGTGTAGTTTAAAAGCTAACAGTGGAATGCTAAAAGTTATTCAATTAATCAAAGGAAAACAGGAGCAGAAGGAAAAGAACAAAGAACTGATGAATCTTGGGCGTTACTGGTGCCATTGTGCACACAATAAGCACAAAATAGCTGCCGGTCTTGTCTTCCACTCCAGCACCAAACCCCTCCTCCCTTCCCTTTATGAGAAGCCTCGTGACATCTGCAAAACAGAAACCCTTTTGCTGCTGCAAGAGCCAAGTTCTCCACCCTGGTCGCATAGCTTCCACATTAGCATAATGCCCCTCCTTGATGGTGTCAGCCAGCCCTTGGTGCCCTATAGAAGCTCTACCACCCCCACACCTGGTGCTGTCCTCCATTTTGAGGGCAGCCTGGCAGATTCTTTTCCTTTAATAAAGTTTGATCAGTACCCGGCATTTCAGCTCACTTTCTTTGAAGAACATATGGGATAAATAGAAAAAAAATTACAAGATGATAGTTTTAAACTTAATCATATTGATAATTAAATTAGGTGTAAATGATTTAAACAGTTCTATTTAGTTTGGAGATTCTCAGACATGATAAAAAAATCAATATTCAACTAGATGCTTTCTACAAGAAACACACTTAAAATATAAGGATAAATAGGTTAAAAGAAAAATAATAAAAAAATGTATACCTGCAAACCCTAACTTTAAGAAAGCTGGAGTGGATATATTAATATCAGATGAAGTAGACTTCAGAAAAAGGAATATTACTAGAAAAAAGAGGAACACTTCATAACAGTAAACCAGTCAACAAGACCTAACAATCTGAATGTGTATGCACTCAATAAAAGAGCATCAAAATACATGAAAATAATGGACAGTATTAAAAGGAGAAATTACCAAATCTAAGATGATAGTTGCAGATATCAATTCTCCTGTCTGAGTAATTGGCATAATAAACAGAATATCAGTAATGATAAAAAAGATATGAGCAAATTTTATAGACATTGAAAGGATAAAATTAAATATTATTGGTATTCATGTAATGCCAGTACATTTGACAACATATGTGAAATAGACAAATTTCTTGAAAGATCTGAATTACCAAAAGTGACTCAAAAAATTATTGAAAATATGAATATCCCTATCTGACATTACTATTGAAGTCCATCAAATTTCTAATAAAAGAAAGCATACCAATTTTACACAAATTTTTTCAGCAAATAATAGGGAAAGGAAAATTTTCCAATCCATTGTAGGAGTATTACCCTTACATGAAGAACCAAAGACGTTATGAGACCAATATGCCTATGAAGAAAATACTAGCAAATCACATATAGTAAAATGTAAAAAGGATGATACACAATGACCAAATGGGGATTATCCCAGAACTGTCAGGTTGGTTGAGTATTTGAAAACAATCTATGTAATTTACCATATTAACAGTATAAAGGAGAAAAACCATATAAGGAGGCTCAGTAGATGACCCTCAGTTGATGGAGAACGATCAACGAATCAACACCTTTAAGTGATATCACCATTATCAATCTCCAGCCTCTAGGGCTTCTGCCAAGAAGACCAGGACCCCATGAGGCCACACTTCAAGGTACTTCCTGGATCCTGCCAATGAGGAGCTTAGAAGGAGGTGGTCAGGCCCGTGTGTTGACCACCCCTGACTCTTGTGCCTGGTCCTGAGGCTTCCTCTGTGTCCTGGAGTTTGGCTGAGCATGGAGAAGAATTCAGTAAAGCTTTATTCCTGGCAGTTGTTACAGAATATAATTCATTTTAAAGGGACTTTAAAATTAAGACTAATAGGAAAGCATTGAAAAGAAGGGAGAGTGAGGGAAAGCTGAGCCCTCCAACCGTGGCATTTTGAAATCTGGTAAAGAAGAAAATCAGAACTGAGGGGAGGTGTACACATGGAGGAGACCTGCAGGCATTGCCACACGCTGCATGGTGGTCGTACCTAAAGGTGGCTGAAAATGAAGGAGAACAGTGACACCACTTTGAAGGAAGAAATTGGTCACAGTCTGTATTAGCTTCCTACTGCTGCTGTAACTAATCGCCACAAACGTAGTGGCTTAAAATAGAACACTTTTATTACTTTACAATTCTGGAAGGCAGACATCTGAAATGGGTCTCGCTGGTGTAAAATTCAGGGGTCAGCAAGGCTGCTTTTCTCCTGGAGGCTCAGGGGGAATCCGTTTCCTGACCTTCTCTAGCTTCCTCATTCCCTGGCGTGTGGCCTCTGTCCGTCTTCAAAGCCAGCAATGGCCAGTGGAGTCTTTCTCATGCTGCATTGCTCTGACTGCTGCGACGGCCCCATCTCCTTCTCCTGCCTCCCTCTCACTCATAAGGACCCTTGTGGTTACATTGGGTATAATCCAGGACCCTCTCCCCATCTCAAGATCCCTAATTTAACCACATCTGCAAAGTCCCTTTTGCCACGTGAGGTGACATATTTACGGGTTCTGGAGATGAGGATGTGGACATCTTTGGAGGCCGTAATTCTGCCCACCACACCATCCATTTCAGAATTTTCCATGGACATGGAATTAAAAAAGTACAAATACAAGAGACGTGTAAAACTTTGTGTGTTGTGGATGGTAGAAGGACATAGTTTGGAATAGGACCCGCATGTGTAGACCAAGGAGGGAGAGAGTTCGGCATAGAGCCCACCCTGTGCTGGGTCGAGGGGTGTGAAGACAGATGCCCACGGGAGCCATGGGGACTATGAAGAGACTGGCAGGAAAGGAAACCTGGGCAGAAGTGCAGGAGAGGTTTTCCAAGGGGAGGATGTCTCAGTGGACACTCACGGTCATGATATGGTATGGTGCAGGTGGCAGTTTTGCAGGAAGCCTTTGGCAGTGACTGAAGGAGGAACCGTGGGGTGTACCCTGGACACCAGCCTGCTGCTGTCATCCCTTGGCGGGCTCCTTTACACGTGTTCGTCACATGTCTCTGCTTTGTCTCTCAGGCACGCTGGGGTTCTCCTGGATGAGGACATCTTCCAGGGGAAGGAGCTGGTCACCTGTCGCTCGCTGCAGGCCCTGGTGGCCGGGCTAAAGGCCTACAGTGCCAGGGAGAACATCAGCTGCCTGCAGGACTGCCGCAAGTGCACTGGAGGCATGGTGAGTCCTGTGAGTCCCCAGGAGGCCCCAGACCTGCGGGGCCCCATGATACATCACGTGCGGGATAGGAGGGAAGAGCACCAGGTGGCTGGTGGAGCACGGGATTTGGAGCCACATGGAAATCCCTGTGACTCTGGATACCTCACTTATGAGCCTTGTAGTCTGTGCATGTCCCCCACATGCACTGCTGTGAGGACAGTTATAGACCGTGTCTGTAAAGTGCTTGGCCCATGGTGCCTGGCCCATGGAGGCTCCCAGTAAATGCCATTAAACTTGGTCATGGTGGTGGTGGTTGACAGCATGGGAAAGGGCCACTGAGGGTTCAGATGATCAAAAAAGTTCTGCTCTAAAGTCTTAATCCCTTGGGGAGAACACAGGAAATGACCCCAAGAGATTTCCACCCCTGGAAGGAGGCAGAAGGCAGGGCATTTAGAGGCTGCCTGGTGTGTCCTCAGCCCCCGGCCTCAGGCTGGATTGTGCAGTGAGGGGTGGAAGGTGTGAGAAATCCCAATATGAATCTCTGGGGAGTTGAGGGGGTCTCTGAGAGCAGCTGGGATCTGTGCCCAGTTACCACACAACCCTGAGAGGGGAGGCACCTGTGGACTCAGAGAGTCTCTGCACCCTTGAGGGGACCCAGAGCCCCACGAGGTGAGAAGGTGGGCCCAAGTGGGGTCTCTGAGGGCAGGACATGCAGGCCACGGGGTCGTGGACCTGTGGCTTGGTGGCATGGCAGGGATGCAGGCATCGGCTGTGGTGGCAAGTGTGGTTTACCCTAGATGGCAGCCCCACATCAGATCCCCAGGGCTGCACCACTTCATCTGAGTGTGCAGCAGTGACTGGAGCCTCCAGATAACACCTTCCAGAGGAGGGTGGAAGGAGGAAGCCCCCCTGCTGGGCCTTTGGGCTGAATTTAATGCTGAACTTGGTTGTATCTTTGCCTGAAAGCAGCAGCTCTAAACCTGGAGCGGAGGATGGAGAGTTTTAGCCGCAATGGAGAAGGGTCAAGAGCAAGTCCGGGGCACCGTAGACAGCAGAAGGGGAGGATGAGCCTCTGGGGGCTGACACCCTGTGCTCGGCGTCAGAGCCGGGGACCGCATGGAGGGCACGGGAGGACGGGGTGGCGCCTTCACAACACGCGGAGCTGTGGGCAGAACCTGCAGGTTTCTACCATGTGAACGTGGCCTTGGCTCATCCGGAAGCCAGCATGGCTCTTTCTCTTGAGGTGGCCATGTGAGGTGTGTCCAGGCTGTGGTGCTGGAGGCCATGTTTGCTCTGCTTCTGTGGGGATGTGGTGTGGGAGTTCACAAGGGAAAGGAAGGGGATGAAGAATAAGGTGACAGCTGACACTGAGGCACAGCCAGGCGAGGACCAAGCTCCTCTGAGGCAGCAGTGGCTCATCACCTGACAAGTTTCCACCTGCAGCTCCAGGGGGTGCTCTCCTTTCACCCAGCAGCTGGGAGTGGAACCCAGGGATCCTGGGTGGAAGCAAGAGGGCTGGGTCAGCAGGCTGGGGCAGCCCACACAGGGGCGGCCGGGGCACTGAGCCAGCTCAGCTGTTGTGGCCCCTGATGGTGACACAACCCAAGACCTGTCTGTGGTCTTCTAGTCCTCTAGTCTTCCTCCCTACATGAAGTCCCTCATGCACCCCTCAGGGCCTCCGTAGCCCTCTGTCCTCTGTCCTGGCCCAAGTTTTCAGTCAGTACGAAGCCCTGGCAGGGCCTCCCAGAATGATTGCCCTCGCCCTGGTATCCAGTGGTCCTGCCCAGTCACGCCCACCTTTGCTGCCCAGGACCACCCAGCAGTGCAGAAACCACTCCTCGCCCCCATATCAGAGACCAGGCATGACGCCAAGGGCTGCTCTTCCAGGCTGGACATGGCCTGTCATCCCTCCAGCCCTGCTGCCTTTCAGAGCTTTGTTCCCAAGCAGCTCTTCAGTTCCCCGGGGCAAAGGACCCCAAAGGCAAACCCTGTTTCCTCCACTTACAACACCTCTGATGTCTAATATGTCAGTTGTCCACACCAAGCCATTCTCTAATTTTCTGTGGACAGCAGCTGGGTGCCCTACTATTTAATTTATTCTGGCACTAACTACCTGGAGTTAGTGCAGACCCACAGGTTAAGGCTTCAATCCCCAATACTGCCCCCCCCACCTCCCCTTCATACACCAATCGCAGGCACAGGTAGTGGGTCTACAGGCTACCCACACATGTGTCTGACTTGGCTATAAATCAGAGTCCCCATGACCCCCTCCTTAGTCTCAATAATTTGCTATATCTGCTCATAGTACCCAGGAAAACAGTTACGTTTACAGGTTTATTATAAATGATATAATAAAGGAGACAGATGAACAGCCAGGTGAAGAGGTGCATAGGACAAGGTCCTGAAGGGTCCCCAGCACAGCATCTTCTGTCCCTGTGGAGCTGGGGCACATCACTCCTGGCACGTGGATGTGCTCGCCAACCTGGGAGCTCTCCGAACTCTGTAGTTCAGGGATTTTTAGGGAGACTTCATCACATAGGCATGATCGATTATTAACTCAGTCTCCCATCTCTCTCCCTTCCTGGGGATGGGGGATAGGGATGAAAATTTGAGGCTTCTAACCATGGCTTGGTCTTTCTTATGACCAGCCCCCATCCTGAAGCTGTCCAGGAGCCCACTAGGAGTTGCCTCATTAAGACAAAAGACGCTCCTGTCACCCAAGAAATTTCAAAGGATTAGGAGCTCAGTGTCAGGAACGGGGGTTAGACTAAGTATTAGAACAAAAGGTGCTCCTAGCACCACTATCACTCAGGAAATTCCAAGGGTTTTAGGAGGTCTGTGTCAGGAACTGGGGACAGAGATCAAATACATATTTATTATCTTACATTAAGAGCTCCATGCCAGTAACCAGGGATGAAGACCGACTGTATACTTCTCATTATATCACAGCCGCAATTTCCACCTTGGTCCTTCCCTTCTCCCCACCCACGTATCCACCTGACACCGGCACAGAGCTATTCATAGGGACACACAAATATGTGTTGAAAGAAAAGCCTGAGCATCTTCTAATGGCTTAAGTTCATATTTTCACACACCACGTCTTCATGCAGGAGGTCTCCAGGAGTGGGGAAATGTGGAGAAATGTGGGTTGGAGCCTCATTTGAGCTGCTTGGGCTGCTGAGAGGATGCTGAAGCCTGCAGGACTCTTTTACAGCCTGGAGAACTGAGTAGATCTTGCTTCTAAAAAATGTATTTCAACACACATATACTGTCTTTGAAGCCAGCAACCCTGGGTGTGACCTTGGGCAAGTTATTCCCTTCTCTTTGCCTCAGTTTCCCCATATATAAAATGGGGAAAACAAGCCTTCTTTTGAGGTTGTGAGGGTTAAATTATATGAGATGATGAGCATCAAATGCTTCATGCATGGACTCAGGAAGTAGGGGTCGATGTTTCTGTGATGTGCCTAGCCTGGGGGTTTGCCATTGTACAGCATGGACAGCTGGATGCAGAGCCCGGTGCAATGTGGCAGGCCCGTGCAGCAGCAGGGACTAGGAGGATTTGGGGAGAACCGTGGAGAGTCCCCTAGCAGTGCCATTTTAGTGACTCGAAATATCATCAAGAGCCTCCCAGATAGGGTTGGGGATGCTGGCATACAGGATAGAGGTGTGAGATTGTGTGGCACATTGAAGGACACCAGGACAGGCATAGGCTGGGTCCAAGAGAGGATGTGGTGGAGGAAAGAATGGAAGAGAGGAAGCTGGAATTAGACTGGGGAGAGGAGACTGATCCCATCTGCACGGCTGTCCATGGCAGGCACTCGGACGGCACCTTCAGTCCCAAGAACCACATGGCTGATTGAGTTCACAGAGACAAAGCCTCAGCACAGTGCTTGGCACGTAGTAGGCGCTTAACATTTTCAGCCATTCTCATGTATTGCCATGTCTCAAATGAGTATACTGAGGCTGGACTACGAGGGCAGCGAGATCAGGGACCAAGTCCTTGATCACTACAGCCTAAGTCTGATTACAGTGTGGAGTGTCCAGTGAGCAGCTGTGGACTGAGCAACGACTAATGAAGACTGATGGACAGAGGGACCGACTGAATGAATAAATGCCCCGTGCTTCCATTTTTCTTTCTTACCTTTACATCTTGGGACTCCTTGGTCTTTTCTCGCTTTATTGTTATTACTTTTTTATTTTTTATCCTGAATGCTTTTTAAAAAAAAAAAAACATACAACTTGGGGCCGGCCCGGTGGCGCACTGGGTAGTGCGCCGCTTGGGAAGCGCGGCAGCGCTCCCGTTCGAGGGTTCGGATCCCACATACAGACCGGCTCCCGCTCACTGGCTGAGCGAGGCGCGGGAAGCAACACCGAGGCTTGCGATCCCGTTGCCAGTCCCCGGTCCGGTACGGGGGCAACACTGAGGGTTGCGATCCATTGCCGGACATGGAAAAAAGACAAAAGACAAAAAAAAAAAAAAAAAAAAAAAACATACAACTTTATTGGTGCTTTTGGGGGAGAAAGAACCCTGGCGTTGCCTGTAGGCTCCCCATATTCAGAGCAACAGTAACGTTCATTAGCCCTGAAACCTGCATGGGCCCATGTTGACAGCTTATTTGTTGAGGACAAATTTTGATGACAGTGTGTCTAGTTTAGGAGATAAGGACTAGAAAAGAGCGGAGGATGGGAAATTACCGTACAGTTTATTAAGACGTGAGTGCGTCTGGCCCCTAATTTTGCCTCTGCTGTGTTCATATGGCCCTGTGAGATCCTGCTTCTCTTAACCGCTAACTTCAATGTTTGTTGCAGTTGCCTCAAGTGAACATCGTCGGTGCAGGGCAGCTTCTTTGCTAAAGTAAAGCATATTCGAAAACACATTCACTGTATTATTTTTACCAATTACAAAAGTAATGCGTATTCATTGTAGGAATTTTTTAAAGACAGAAAAGCTCAAAGAAGAAAGGAAATATATCCCACAATTATGCTTCTCAGAGATGGTTGCTGTTTGCACATATTCTTTC